TGAAGTAACTCGCTCATAATTATTGCTTGGGTATTCACCAGCCTTTTTCATTCTTAACGACAATATCTTCCTCCTTAAATTCAAAATTAATCTCCCGGGCAAAATTAGGGACTACCAAAGGTAACTGATTAAGGGGAATAATAGGGATTTCTTTGCGGTAATAAATAATTTCTCCATTTTGAGAAAATTTGGCAAAAACTTTGATTTTTTTCTCATAAATGGTGAAAGTAATTCAACTGCTCTCCCCTAAACTAAAACCTTCTCCGCCAAAATTGGCGACAAATTTACTTTCTTCGGGGATTTCGTGAGAATATTCAGTGTCAGGATTTAGGATGGTTAATTGGTTGTTTAAGTAATCGTATTTAAATTTCATAATCTAATGTTTGATGGTTTTCTGTCGGCTCCTTCTTCCACAACTTACAATAATCCGTATAAACCGTAGCCCAATCATGCTGGATATATTTTTCCGTAGTTTGGACGCTACTGTGGCCCAATAATTGTTGAATAGTTAATAATTGAGCCTTATTGCGATAAAGTCAAGTGGCAAAACTTCTCCTAAATGTGTGAGGAGTAATGTTTTTCTTTATTCCTGCTTGCTTGGCTCGGGCTTTTAATAGTCATCTAATATATTCGGCTTTGATTTGATTTCCCCTTTGATTAACAAACAGATAATCATCAGAAGTAGGATTAAAACACTCAATCAAAAAATCCCGCAGTAAAACATATCTCACTTTATTCCCTTTACCATGAACTCTTAATTGATTGCCTTGTCAGTCAGAGTGCTTAATATTTACTAATTCATTAATTCGGACTCCGGAATAAAATAAGAAATCCAGCAGGAGATTATTTCGCTGATGAATTTTAGGATTTTTTTCCACTTTGGCTAATTTCAACTTTTCTAATTCTTCTTCGCTAATGGTATCATAAAACTTTCTCTGAATACTGGGAATTAAACGAGCAATCCTTTCTCATTCCACCTCCAATTTCTTGAATTTGATATAAGAATTAAAGGCTCGTTGTTGAACTTTTAAACTGGTGGCTTCGTAATTTTTCAGGTTAGTTCTAAAATATTCTCTTAAACTTTGGGTGGTAAATTCGGAGGGGAATTTATCCAAAATATTTAAGTAAAGTCTAATCGTATTCGCTGATAAATTTTTGTCTTGTAATCATTCGGTATAATCAGAGATATTATGGTTATTCATAATATTTATGGGCTGATTAGCCCTTTTGATAGTTCAGTAAGTATTTCAGTTCATATCTTTTAAAAATCATTGTTTTCCTCCTCCTTATCCTGCCGATAACTTCACTCTTCCAATTTATCATTTAGGCCATTTTGGCTTTCAATAACGGTCTTTATTTTATCAATTTCTTCTAACAATCCGCCACAAGCATCGGGGTCTCAGGTTTCGGAATCATCTTCATCCGGTAATAAACTGGGTTCCAAGGGTAAAATTTCCTTTAATTCTTCTAAATCTTTTTGAATGGCTTTTTTTAATTGTTTGGTTGTCATATCTTTTACTGATTTATTGTTAGTGTATTCTCAACTTGGCTTGCTTTTTAAAAAAGTATCTGGGTCAATGATGAATAATTGTTTTCAGCACCCATCGCAGTAGTAGGAGAAAGAGAAATCTTGATAACCTTTTTGCTGTTTTTTTCAGTTGTAATAATCCTCGGATGAATAGTCCTTGTAATTTTCGCTGTTTTCTGAACTCTTGCAATAGCTTTCAAAAACCTTTCAACTAACATCACTTTCTTTTCAAACTATTTCTGATTTGACATTTTTGGGGTTAGCCTCTTGTTGGCAATTTTCAAAACTGCACTTTTTATTTACGGTCATTTTTTATTTTCTTTAATCAATCAGCAAATTCCCGGTCCTTTTTCTCATCTTTTTCTTGCT